TTTGTTCACAAATATGATACAGTGTCTCGAATACTATCATTTTGTAGTGCTCGTCGAGTTCTACCATATCTAATTTAGTTGGTCAAAAAATATCGATCCTAAAAGAAACAATGACAGGGCCCGTCCGCAAGTATTCTTCTATCCCACGTGGCATATGTCAGCGGGGTAGGAGAACTCTTCTACTCTACCTAGCCACAGAGAACACTCAACTTTTTCTCACTTTCCTCCCCGCCCCCCATTTTTATTACCCCCCCCCCCCTAACTGGATTTCCTTCGTTATTTTATTCTTCTATATGTCGAAGATCTCATTTTTCTCCTCTTTTTTTTTGGGTCCATTTTTAATACGATTTTAGGGTTTTTGTGGCTTTTGACAGTTCTAGGGAGACTTCTAAACTATTTTCAGCGTATTTTTAGACGTCTAATCTTATTTGTATCACTCTAGACTACTTTTTTTTCAGGAATCGAAGGGGTTTTTAGACCTTCCGAATCTTGCCTAGTTGTGTCTACTCCTCTCTGTCCCTCTGCGTCTCTTTCTCTCCCTCTCTCTCTTCTCCTGATTCCTGATAAGTACATTTTGTTGTTTCCTTGCCCCTTCTTGATTTCTCCGTAATCAAGAGAATCTATCGAACAACTCCCCCCCATGTGACCCAACCACCACCACGACCATCTCTCTCTCTCTCTCCATATGCATTCATTTCCGTGAGGAGGAGGAGAGAAGTGATATGATATGATAATGGGCAGTCAGTCAGTATCACCTCTCGTCGTTAGTTGCCTCCTTTTTTGCCTTTAAAAATAGTCAAAAATTGGTCAGACATGGTCCATTACGACCCCCCTAATACCCCCCTCCAGGAAGCTGAAATGAATCTCAATTTCCGGCGTTGAGAGCTTCAAAATGAGTATAATCATGACTAGGTGTTTGATTGAAGAATTCCCCCCACTCTAACACTTGAAGCCTAGATGTACCCCCTTATCAGACTATGTGCCAACGGGCTACGGTGGTTTTTGTTGAAATTGATCAGTTGAACAACTCTTCGTTTCTCTGTTGACACGAACTGACTGCTTCTTCTCTTTCGCTTATCATCCCTATTGATTAATGATAATAACCCATGTGTGTGTGTGTTGGTTTTCGTGTGCGATTTTTGACCTCGGAAATTTTTGATTTTTGTCCATTTTTCCTACTATTTTAGGGGGGCCAAAAACGATCAAGAATCGAGTTGAGCCAGTCGGAAAAATGGTCCCAAAATCATCGCTAGATGCTAGATCAGGTAGAGGTGTCGATTTGGGACCATTTATAGACCGTTCTAGTCGTTTTGTTGTCATTATTTTGACTCAAAACCTATTTTGGACCATGATAGGCTTATCAGTGACAATCTCAGAGCGATTTTAAGTTTCTAAATTGGTTCATTTTGAAGAAATTTGAGTCATTTCGAACCATTTCAGCCGTTTTTGAACCGTTTTAGAGAAGAGCATTTTAAGCCCTATTTCTGAGCAATTTCAGCCGTTTTTAAGCCTAAATTCAATCAATTTTGGAGTATTTTGAACCAATCTGATATAGGGCGTCATTTTGGACCAGTTTGGACCATTTTGAGCCGCTTTTGGACTTATTTTTGATAGTTTCAAACGATTTTAAGCTCATTTGGACCATTTTTCATCAATTTTGGAGTATTTTGAACGCATCCATCTGATTTTTAGGGGTTAATTTGGATCATATTTGACCATTTTTCACCTCCTCTCTGTTTCTCTGCGTCTCTCTCTCTCTCTCTCTCTCTCTCTCTCTCTCTCTCTCTCTCTCTCTAAATTCCAAATTTATAGAATCCCCTGCTCTAGTTGATGTCGCATCATCACACATTCGTCGCAGCACACGCTACAACCTGAGACTACAAACTACACTCTCCAACCACGCCCATTTAGGCTCCGCCCCCTCTTTTCCCCGCCCATCAGGCTCCGCCCCCCAGCCAAACTGGAGCGATTTCGAGTGCAGATGGTGTCCAAACGGCCGCCGCCAGGACCACCAAACCCCGTCGCCCCCTCCTCGAATAATAATAATAATAATAATTTGCCACCAATTGGAGATTTGGTGATTACGGTAGATGAGGAGCCTACGGTAGCCCCGCCCACTACTACGTTGAAACCGAAAAAAGGGGGATGGATAAATCGGCGAAGACGAAAGCGACAGGGACCCTTAGGAGGACTCTATTCGGGAAAAGTACGAAGCGAAGGACAAAAGATGCCGAGGAGGTTCTGGAAGAGGAGGAGGAAGAAGATAACTATGATAATTATGATACGGTCAAGTCGCTGCCAGCATCGGGCCATTATGGAAAGTCTCGAGTGGGCAATACGTCGCATACGAAGCTCCAGGACTTGGCGGATGAGATTAGGCAAAGGGGCGGAGCCAAGAGTCAGGCGCCGCCCCGCCCACCGGTTATCATATTTCGAGTGCCGCGGAAGCATGCCAACTCGATGTCATCGTTGAGGATATCGCCTGGAGGCGGCAACAATGGCGTCGTCAAAGCCCCCCTATCGGATCCGGTCTTTGATTTTTACACGTGGCACACTTCTGAAGCCGGTTAGTACCTTTTTGAACTTTGGACCTTTTTCAGACATCGCTGTTCTCGTCGTTCGACTCGATGTCACTTGGAAATGGAGGGGCCAATGGAGTCCAGGATATTAATGCCATCTTTTTTGGTAGGATGGCTGAAAATGGACCAAAATTGAGCTGGTTTAGAGCGATTGCTCATCGCTAATAGTAGAACTACAGTAACTCTTGAAGTTTCCTTTTTGAAAAAATGACTGAAATAGGGCTGAAAATCCTCTTGAAAATTGACATTTTAGAGTGCCGCCAAATAACAAAAACTACCGTAACCCAGTCGGTTTTGCTTCAAACTCATTGAAACTTGTATATATCGATTTGTCATGATTAGCGCTTCGGCCTAAACACGACTATGCTCCGTTCACTTTGAAATTTCAGGCGCGACGCGGTCGTGCGTCGCGTGTTTGAGTGAAATTTCAAAATAGGCGGAGCCTAGTCGTGTTTATACTCATTTTGAAGCTGGCGATGTGAGAAATCGATACATCTCTATTTCATCAAGTGTAGAGCGAAATTGACGAAGTTACGGTACCTTTACCTTGTCAGAGGAGTACTGTAGACCTGGAAGTTCGAAAATGGATGAAAACGGCTGAAAAATAGCTCGAAAATAGGCCGAAATTGGTCAATTTAAGCCATTGTTCATACCTAGCAAAAACTACAGTAATCTCTATTTTAAGGAAAAAGAGCATCTTAGGGATTACTGTAGGCCGATTGCTCATCATACTAGTATTCAAAACTACAGTAATCCTTGACTAATTTAGCTGAAAATGACTGAAAATCTATCGGAAATTCGAGAAAAATCGAGCCAAATTGACCAAAAACCCCGCTTTTCCAATGATTGCTCATCTCTAGCTACAGTAATCCTTGAAATTTCTAGAACAATAAGAATTTTAGGGATTACGATTTTAAAACTCATGTATTACGGTAGATTTGGAAACGTTTAGCTCAAAAAAAAGATGATTTTGCGATGAAAAGGGCATTTATGTTCAAAATTCGGGATCTACAGTAATCCTCCGATATCTTAAAAGTACCGTAACCCAGTCAGTTTTGCTTCAACCTCTTCGAAACTTGTATGTATCGATTTGTCATGATTTGGGCTTCAAAATGAGTATGAACACGCCTAGGCTCCGCCCACTTTGAAATTTCGGACCCCCTATGCGCCTGTAAAGTCGAAATTTCAAAGTGGGCGGAGTCTAGGCGTGTTTATACTCGTTTTGAAGCTGACGATGTGAGAAATCGATATATCTGAATTTCGTTGAGTTTGAAGCAAAACTGGCTGGGTTACGGTACGTTTATGGTATTGAAGGGGGTTACTGTAGCTTGTTTCTACTTACGGACTACTGTAGTTTTTGCTAGTGATGAGCAATAATGAGAAGCAGCTCAAAAAAAAAGCAGAAAAATGAGGGTTTTCAGGAAAATGGTTTTTCAGACTGATTAATACGCTAATTACCCCCTAATTACCTCAATTTTTGCAGACAATCACGACGCTGTCTACTCGCTATTTATGAAAGCGCACAAATGCTACGACCTCATCCCCACCTCATCGAAATTGGTGGTTTTTGACACCCATCTACCGGTACGAAAAGCCTTCTACGCGCTGGTCTATAACGGTGTACGCGCCGCGCCCCTCTGGGATACGGATAATCAACGATTCACTGGAATGCTCACAATTACGGATTTTATCAAGATTTTGTGCAAGTGAGTGCAAAAAAAATTGGTCAAAAATGAGCAATTTTAAGCTGAAAATCAGCCCAGAAAGAGGGTTTTCGGATTTTTGCGGTCATCCGGACACACGGAAACGCTCGAAACTAGAAAATTTGAATTCCTCGCGTTGAGAGCTTCAAAATGAGCCTAAACACGACTAGATTTGGTTTACTTTCATTTTTGGGCCGCTGCGTTGCGGTCGCGTCGCGGTCGGAGCGCTTCAAAATTCAAACTTGACCAAACCTAGTCGTGTTTCGGCTCGTTTTGAAGCTGAGAACATGAAAAATCGATATATCTAAGTTTCGTTGGGTTTGAAGCTAAACTGACTGGGTTACGGTAGGTGGGACACCCCTCCCGAAGTGTGCTGTAACTCGCTTACTTTTCCTCCAAACTGTTCGAAAATCAGATATAACGATTTTTCATGATTTGCTTTAAAAATTACCTAAAATGACTTGTTTTACAAAATTCCGGATCTACAGTAACCTCCAAAAGTACCGTAACCCTCTCAATTGTGTTCTAGACTTTATGAAACATTGATATATCAATTTCTCACATCGTCAGCTTCAAAATGAGCCCAAAATACGACTAGGCTCCGCCCACTTTGAAAAGTAAAAAAAATTCGCACCCCCTATGCCCGTGTTGAAAATTTCGGACCCCCATGCGCCTTTAAAGTCGAAATTTCAAAGTGGGCGGAGCCTAGCCGTGTTTATACTGATTTTGAAGCTCTCGACGAGCTGAATTCAATTCGAAATCTAAAAACTAGAAAAAAAACCTTTGAACCTGGAAAATCTGAAAAATTAGAATTTCTGGACCCATTGTTCATGAGAAGTTTCGAATTTATTGCAGACACTACGACAAGGGAGACAACGCGGAGCACATTCGCGCCCTCGAAGACCAACAAATCAGTCATTGGCGTGAGCAGTTCGAGCAAGACGGCACGCTCCGCCCATTCGTCCACATTGACCCCAACGAGTCGTTGCATCGAGCTGTTGAGATCCTGTGTGAATCGAAAGTTCATCGATTGCCGGTGCTGGATCGAAAGACGGGAAATATTACGTACATATTGACACACAAACGCATCATGAAGTTCCTCTCGCTTTATGTGAGTTTTTATGCCCTTTTTAGGCCTTTTGGGAAGGAAAATTGGCTGAAAATGGCTGAAAATTGCTTAGAAATCGGCTAAATTGACCCTGGAGGCTTTTTTCCGCAGAAAATTTGGCTGAAAATGACCGAATTTGACCCAAAACGCCACTTTTCTGATTATTGTTCATCACTAACTGATAACTACAGTAATCCGGGAAATTTTGAATGTTTCACGCTGAGTATATGATCACTGTAGGCTCTCCGAGCTTAAAGCTTCGAATTCCGTAAAAAACGACTTTTCTAGAAATTCGGCTGAAAATAACTGAAAATGGCTGAAAATTGCGACTTCAGCGAATTTGAGCAAATTTGGCTCATTTTGGGTCGTTTTCGAGGCAATATTCTTGAATTTTGAGGCATTTCTCATGATTTTCAGCTTCTTCCACACCTCAAAAAATAGCAATTTTGAAATGTTTCGCCACCAAACCGCGAATTTGGTCCCCCACAACTGTAAAAATACCGTAACCCAGTCAGTTTTGCTTCAAACTTAACGAAATCAGGATATATCGATTTCTCACATCGTTAGCTTCAAAATGAGCCTAATCTCGACTAGTCTAGCACAATTTTGAGTTTTGACCTACGCGTTGCGGTCGCGTCGCGGTCGCGTCGCGGCCGGTGGGTCAAAACTCAAATTTGAGCTAGACTAGTCGTGTCTGGGCTCATTTCAAAGCTGGCGACGAGACGAATTTATATATCCAGGTTTCGTTGAGTTTGAAAACTGACTGGGTTACGGTAGTTTTCCGGTACCAACCTCCCCAAAACTGTAAAACTACCGTAACCCGATCAGTTTTGCTTTAAACTCAACGAAACCTAGATATATCGATTTCTCACATCGCTAGCTTCAAAATCAGCGCCAACATGACAGCAAAACTGACTGGGTTACGGTAGTTTTCGTGGTGAGATCGCTCTCGAATTATGCAAATGTACCGTAACCCAGTCAGTTTTTCTCCAAACTGAATCAAACTTTGATATATCGGTTTGTCATGATTCGAGCTTCAAAATGAGCCTAATCACGGCTGGGCTCCGCTCACTTTGAAATTTCAGGCGCGTCGCGGTCGTGCGTCGCGTGTTTAGGTGAAATTTCAAAGTGGGCGGAGCCTAGTCGTGTTTATACTCATTTTGAAACTGGAGATGTGAGAAATTGACATCTCAATGTTCAATAAAGTCTAGAACACAATTGAGAGGGTTACGGTACCTTTGGGGATTACTGTAGATCCGGAAGTTTGAAAAAAAGTCATTTTAGGTAATTTAAGAAGGCAATTTTCGGAATTTTGAGTCAGTTTACATCGCTTTCATTAAGCTAATAACCCTCCACATTTTGCAGATGCGCGACTTGCCCCGCCCCTCGTTCATGTCGTGTAGTCCTCGTGAACTAGGCATCGGAGCGTGGGGAGATATCCTGTGTTGCCACGTGGACACACCCATACACGACGCACTGGAGCTCTTCCTGAAGAATCGAGTATCCGCCCTCCCGCTGATTGATGAGCACGGCCGAGTGGTTGATATCTACGCGAAATTCGATGTTATCAGTCTGGCAGCCGAGAATTCGTATGATAAGCTGGATTGTACGGTACAAGAAGCGCTGAAACATCGATCCGAATGGTTCGAGGGTGTACACACGTGTCAGGCGACGGATTCACTGTTTCAAGTGCTCGAAGCGATTGTGAAGGCGGAGGTTCATCGATTGATTGTCACTGATCAGGATAGAAAGGTAGGCATTTTCTAGAATACCACTGAAAATAACTCGAAACATTCAACTCAGCAAGTCAAGAGCTTCAAAATGAACCCAAACACGACTAGAATCCTTCAACTTTGAGAATTGAGGTCAGAGACGCAGTGTGTCTCGTTTCTCTGGCACTCTAGTCTTTTTCAAACTACCGTAACTTGCTTAGCGCTCACTGGAATTTTCCGAGAATTGGAGCATCCTATTCGCCTTGTTCTGAGCTTCAAAATGAACCCAAACACGACTGGATTTGGTTTAGATTGGCCCCTGCGGCGCGGTCGCGTCGCGGTTGGGAGGTCAAAATTCAGAATTGAGCTAGACTAGTCGTGTTTGGGCTCGTTTTGAAGCTCTCGGGGAGCTAGAAACGAATCTGAAGCCAAAAATGCGGGAAAACTAATGTTCTGCAAAACCTTTAACATTTTGAAAATCGAAAAATTTTGGAAAACTGTTTTTTGGAATTTTCTCGGAAACTACTCAAATTTTCTCAAAAATAGTTTCAAAATCCGAATAAGCAGGTCGAGAGCTTCAAAACGAGCTCAAAAACGACCATCTTCCGGTCATTTTCATTCTTAGGCCAAATTCAGGAAAAAGTTGATTTTTGCCCAAATTTGAGAAATCTGAAAAATTTGGAAAATAAAAATTTCTGGAATTTTCTGGAAAACTACTCGAATTTTCTCGAATAGTTACACATTTCAATTTAGAATGTCGAGAGCTTCAAAATGAGCCCACGGCGCGGTCGCGTAGCGGTCGGAGCGATCAAAATTCAAACTTGATTAAAACTAGTCGTGTTTAGGCTCATTTTGAAGCTCTGGATGAGCTGGGCACACATCTAATAAAATTGGCACCACTAATATCAAAAAAGATGATTTTTGGGAAGTTTTGAAAATCAAACAATTTCGAAAATTTTTGTCCCGGAATTTTTTGGTAAACCACTGGAAATTTCTCAAAATTAATCTCAAATTCTTATCCAGCGCGTTAAGCGCTTCAAAATGAGTACAAACACGACTAGTCTAGCTTAAATTTGAGTTTTGACCTACGCGTTGCGGTTGCGTCGCGGCGGGTGGGTCAAAATTCAAAATTGAGCTAGACTAGTCGTGTTTTAGCTCATTTTAAAGCTGTCAATGAGCTAGAAACGAATCTGAAGTCAAAAATGCGGATTTCGAGCATTTTTAGGTCTATAGAGCCTATTTTAACCGATTTTGAAGAAAAAAAATTTTCAAAAATATCGATTTTTTGCAGGTTGTCGGTGTCGTCTCCCTCTCTGACATTCTCAAATATCTCGTCCTGGACCCATGCCAAAAACCGCCGGCTCCGCCCACTCGTAACGCTTCTGGAACGTCTCAAGGAGGCGTCTCGACCGATAGCCCACCGAATAGCATTCCAGAAGGCGTGGAAATCGATGAAGATGAGCAAGAAGACGTGCCAGGCGCGCCAGACGACGTTCCAGGACTATCCAAGGCCTAAGGACCCTGAATCCCCGATGAAATCCGATATTGCTCAGCCTTGAAATTCATTATTTGATTGTAGTTTTTCGCTCTTGTTTCAGTGCCTAACACTGACGATGTATAAGCCCCGCCCCCCGCCCGCCCCGCGTTTTATAGGCCACGCCCACTTTATTAGCAGCACAAGCCAAGCCCCCTTCTTTTTCATGTATATAGATGAAATTTTCAAAAATCCCCCCTCCCAAAAGTTCTGAAACGGATATATTTTATTTTTCTAAAAAACGGGATTTTTGGCACCGCCCCCTTTTTTCTCTAACTCCGCCCCCTTTTTCGTTTGTTGTGTTCTGTTATTAATATTTCTTCGTAGGCTCCGCCCCTTTTTTGGCTCCGCCCCTTTCTGCAATACAAATCAACCACACTCAGTTTCCTCCCCTGTTTGCTCCGCTCTCTTTTTTTTTCATTACTTGTCTTTTCCTACAGTATCCCGAGAAAGAAACCAACCACCACCACCAAAACAATAAATATGGGTTTTTGAATTGTTTTTTTTAATTTTTTTCTAAAATTTCAACTTCAGATTCGTTTCTAGCTCGCTTAGAGCTTCAAAATGAGCCCCAACACGACTAGGCTCCGCCCACTTTGAAAGAACCGGACCCCCGTGCGCCTTTGAACTCGAATTTCGAAATTTTTCAAAGTGGGCGGAGCCTAGTCGTGTTGGGGCTCATTTTGAAGCTCTTGCTGAGCTGAGCAAAGATACAACAGCAAATTTTGGAATTTTTCAGACATAAAATCGGGAAAATCGAAAAAAGGTTTTTTCAGAAATTCAAAAAACTTTTTTTTCCAAAATTAAAAAACAATTCTACAATTTTCTCATGTTTTTTGACTTCGGATTCATCCTCAGTTCCGCGAGAGCTTCAAAATAAGCCCAAGAACGGCTAGTCTCGCTTATATTGAAGTTTTGACTCACCAGACGCGACGCGACCGCAACGCGTAGGTCAAAAATCAAAGTTTAGCTAGACTAGTCGTGTTTAGACTCATTCTGAAGCCGACAATGTGGGAAATTCATGTATCTAAAAATCAATGATTTCGTAAAAAAAAACTGTCTGAGTTACGGTAGTTTTACAGTTGTGGGAAAGTCGGTGTCGTAAAACTACCGTAACCCGGTCAGTTTTGCTTCAAACTAAATCAAACTTCATCAAAACGATTTGTCATATTTTGGGCTTCAAAACGAGTATAAACACGACTAGTCTAGTAGCTCATATTCGAGTTTTGACCCACCAGCCGCGACGCGACCGCAACGCGTAGGTCAAAACTCAAAGTGGGCGGGGCCTAGTCGTGTTTATACTCATTTTAAAGCTCAAAACATGCCAAATGCGTTGAGAACAATAAAAAATAAATCAGATCACATTCAAACAAGTTAAGAGATACATTTTTAAAAAAATCAATCTTCAAAGAAATCACTTCATTTACACTCCAACTTCCCCCATTCCCCAACATCAATTTCGAAATAAAAGATGTGGTCCATTATATTGTACAATAAGACCGAGTTGCTACAGTAATCCCCATCCGCTTCAGCACACATTTTGTAGTTGGATAATTTCCACATTTCCGCGGGATACCAAATTTCAGTTCCATCGTGAAAAAGTGCGAATGGACCAATTTTTGGTGGAAGATGAGGGATTGGGTCCCGCCCATTTATGACTCGGAAGGAATATGGAAATATTGATTCTCTCCACGCGGAATGATCGTAATCCGAGACTCTTGGTTGTCCGAAAGTGATTAGTTTTATACGGGACGGAGGGAATAGGTCGAGATGAGCAATGTATGATGAGGTTACGGTGGCAAGGGCTCCGCCAAGAGACAATCCTGTGATCTGAAATTTTTTCAGCGTTAAAACGTTTGAAATTCCCTACAAAATGATATGATTTTCATTTTTCGGGGACAATTTTGAAAAAAGTTATGCGCCTTTAAAGTGAAAACGTCAAAGTTTCAAAATGGCGGAGCCTATCCGTGTTTATACTCATTTTGAAGCTCTCAACAAGACAAAGCCACTTCATAAATTTGCCATAAAATTGGGCAGAAACTGAGCAAGTTACAGTAGTTTAAAAGGCTAGAGTGCAGAGAAACGAGGCACACTGCGTCTCTGACCAAAGTGGGCGGAGCCTAGTTGTGTTTAGGCTGGTTTTGAAGCCCAAAAAATGAGAAATCGGTTTATCTAGTTTTCGTGTTGTTTTATTCGAAACTAACGGGGGTACGGTATTTTTAAGGTTTCGGGGGAATGGATTACTGTAGTTCCGGAAGTGGACGGAGCCTAGCCGTGTTTAGGCTCATTTTGAAGCGCTGAACTTCTAAAATTCAAATTTTGACATTGCTCACCCATAATTCGTAATCCTGAGTCTCTGGACCCAAAACTTCCCGGACACCTTTCTCCATGCCTCCATTCCAAAGTAAATGAAACGCATTGTAGAAATATTCGTAAATTTTGCCATGATTGAAAAATGGTTTCAAACCTCTGCAACCTAAATTACTGTACTTGTCAGAGTACCTACAGTATACCTATGGTACTGTAGCAACTGTTCGAGTAGCTGAAATATGCCAATTGTCCCCCGAAACCCCATTGTAATTACTTTTTCGACGTCGTCAATGCCAATGTAGGCGTGGCAATTGGAGGAAAAAATTGGCCCAGAATTATAATCGATTATATGGATTTGATCCAAAAAATAAGCAATCCAAGAAGACGTGATTCCGATGAAAGCTGAAAATGTTGAGATATTAAAATTAAAACTACCGTAACTCCTCTAATTTTTATGCAAATTTATTGAAATATAGATTTTTGAAAAGGCCTTGTCATAAGCTTCAAAATGAGCCAAAACACGACTAGGCTCCGCCCACTTTTGGATTTGAGTTTAAAGGCGCATGGGGGTCCGAAATTTTCAAAATCGGTGGAGTCTAGGCGTGTTTATACTCATTTTAAAGCGCTTGACAAGACAATTCGATTCATGAAAATTTCGGAAAGTTTGAAGCAAAACTGACTGGGTTACGGTACATGGGGGTTACTGTAGCTGGAAATTTTCCAATATGGGCGGAGCCTAGGCGTATTTATACTCATTTTAAAGCTACTAACTTGTGAAGTCTAAATTTTTGTGTTTTCGCCAGTATTTTTGTCTGAAAATCTAATTTTTGTTGAAAAAAAAACTCACTTTCCGTCTCCGTGGAACATTTCACTGAATACGTGTTGACGATTCGAACATTGGGAAGGACTTTTCTGGAAATTTACTGATTTTTCAGGTATCAAAAATAAAAATTCGAATTTCGCGCGCTAGTAGATTCAAAATGAGTATAAACAAGCCTATAAATAGAACCTACAGTAACCCCCGCCGTCATACTCATTCTGAAGCACAAATTATAAGAAATCGATATTTTCAATTTTCAGCAAGTTTAAATAAAAACTACACGAGTTACGGTAGTTTCAAATTTTTCGGGGTGGTGGATTACTGTAGTTTTTGTAGTTTTCTAGCAAAACCAGTCGTGTTTAGGCTCATTTTGAAGCTCTTTGCGCGCTGAACCCAATTTTTTATTAATTCAAAAAATTCCTCACTTTACACACGCCAACGGATTTTCAGAATACGCTGCTGCTGCAATCGGCAGCATACTGTGCCTCGCGAACGTTTCGTTGTATGGAATTGAGACGTTTCGAGTGTCCGGGCAGTTTAAGATTTTCTGAAGATCTATTTTTGAATTTAGATCAGAAATTTTAAATTGAGAGAAAAAGAGCTTCAAAAAGAGCCCAAACACGGCTAGGATTGCTCAGTTTTGAAAATTTTGAATTACTGTAGTTTTTGTAGTTTTTGTAGTTCTCCAGTGAGCAAACCTAGCCGTGTTTAGGCTCATTTTGAAGCTCTTTTCCTGCTTAATTCAAAATTTGCAAAAATTTTCAACTTAAATCAATCCATTTCACACAAAACGGAAGAATTCCACATCGGTCGAACAAAGGGCAGTAGACCTCGCCCTTTTGGATGCATTTCGAGCACGTTCCAAGGGAATTTGAATTTTTGAAAGAATTAAAAATGAGCAATATTGAAAATATTAGAAGCATTGAGATTTTCAGCTATGAAATGTAGAAAAAAAATTTTTTTTTTTGAAATTTTTTGTTGAAAAACACGATTAGGCTCCGCCCACAAATGAAAAATAATTGCTCACCTGTTCAAATATTATGACCTTTTTAGGAGTTCAGAAAACACTGATTTTTCTGAAAATCGCAAAAAAAGAATTAACCAAAAATCTACCAAAAAGGAATCCTAAGATTTTCAGAAAAAATTTTTTGCTGAAAAGCAGTTTTCTGGAATTTTCTGAAAAACCGTTGAAAAATACTGAATATCATGTTTAAAACTTGATTCAACGTGTTAAGAGCTTCAAAATGAGTATAAACACGACTAGGCTCCGCCTAGTTTCGCCCCCCTTGATACCTAAAAACTACCGTAACCCGATCAGTTTTGCTTCAAACTTAACAAAACTTTAACATATCGACTTCTCATAATGCGAGCTTCAAAATAAGTATAAACACGATTAGGCTCCGCCCACTTTGAGTTTTGACCTAGGCGTTGCGGTCGCGTCGCGACCGGTGGGCCAAATCTTGAATATGACCTAAACTAGTCGAGTGTAGACTCATTTTGAAGCACAAATCACGAGAAATCGATAAATCAAAGTTTCGTTGAGTTTGAAGTAAAACGGAGTGGGTTACGATACTTTTACAATACTAATCCCCTAAAACTGTAAAAGTACCGTAACCCAGTCAATTTTATTCCAAACCCAACGAAACTTTAATATATCAAATTCTCATGTTTTGTGCTTCAAAATGCGCATAAACACGACTAGGCTCCGCCCACTTATATTTTTCCGGCGCGTCGCGGTCGTGCGTCGCGTGCCGAAGGGAAATTTGAAAGTGGGCGGAGCCTAGGCATGTTTATACTCATTTTAAAGCTGACAATGTGAGAAATTGGTTTAACAAAGTTTCGTTGAATTTTAATCAAAACTGATCGGGTTACGGTAGCTTTTAGATTTCGGAGATTACTGTAGATCCTGGAGTGGGCGGAGCCTAGTCGTGTTTGGGCTCATTTTAAAGCTGAAAACATTTCAAGTTGAAATCTGCAAAGAAAGTTTAATTTGAATAAAAATTTAGAGAGAAAAATTCCGAAAAAAGTTTTTTTTTTCAAAATTTCCCATAACCATAAAAATCTGTTCCGTTTTTTCGCTTTATTCGATTAAGGCATTTTTTTATGAAAATCCCCAAATTTTTAATTTTTTTTTCAGTTTTAGATTCAGATTTTTCTAGAAAAATGAAAATTTTCATTTTTTCACTTTTCCTAATTTCTCAAATTTCGGGACTTTCGAAATTCCATTTTGATGGAAATTTCGGCTGCAAATTGGCCACTTTTTGCTACCATATCGAGGTCTATGAGCAAGATTGGATGTGAGCAATTGGGGTTACTGTAGGAAATTGAAATATTTGAAATAAAATTTTCAGCGAAAAATCGGACGATCTGCTGATCAATGGGCCTGAAATTGTGTCCCACATCCCTCATAAGTACAGTATCGATGCTCAGGATACCAGTGACGGTGTGGATTTGGAGGTAATTTGAAAATTTTGAAAAAACAATTTTTTTTTTGGATTACTGTAATTTTTCAAAAAAACTCAAAATTCCAGAGAAAATTAGAAATCTACATGATGGTTCATCACAATTGTACTAGCAATGGAAAGCAAAAGAAATTGAGATATTTTTGGGGAAAATACAACATTGATGTTTGGTGAGAGATTTGAGAGGATTACTGTAGGAATGTTTTTTTGGAAAGTACCGTAACCCGATCAGTTTTGCTTCAAACTCAACAAAATTTAGATATACCAACTTCTCATGTTTTGGGCTTCAAAATGAGTATAAACACGACTAGGCTCCGCCCATTTTGAAATTTCGACTTTAAAGGCGCATAGGGGGTCCGAATTTTTTAAAGTGAGCGAAGCCTAGCCGTGTTTTTACTCATTTTAAAGCTCGCATAATGAAAAACGGTAATAACTAAGTCTCGTTAAATTAGAAGCAAACCTGACTGGGTTACGGTACTTTTACGATACTAACATCCCCAAAACTGTAAAAGTGCCGTAACCCAGTCAGTTTTGCTCCAAACTTGACAAAACATAACTACATCAATTCCTCATGTTTTGGGCTTCAAAATGAGTATAAACAAGCCGAGGCCCCGCCCCCTTTGAAAAATTCAGACCCCTATGCGCCTTTAAAGTCGAAATTTCAAAATGGGCGGGGCCTAGGCGTGTTCATACTCATTTTAAAGCTCGCATCATGCCAAATGAATATATCTAAATTTTGTCAAGTTTGAAACAAAAATTACGGGGTTACGGTACTTTTGCTTATCTGGAAACTCGATTTTTCTGGAATTTCAAAAACTGCTTTTATTTTTTCAATTCCAGGGAGGTCAAGGAGAGCAAAGATTTGGAACTGTTCGACAAAGGAGAAGACGTTTGAGATTTCAATTTTTTCTCGAATTTTGATTTCCTGAATAAATAATTTTTGTAAAATTCACTTCAGAAGACGTCAAAGGTTCGATTACCCAACATTAACTAATCTAACGGAAATAGGCTCAGCCTATAAATGAAAAGACAATGATATATCGATTTGTCACAGTTTGAGCTTCCAAATGAGTATAAACACGACTAGGCTCCGCTCGATTCCAGACCTACGGTAATCGATTCCCCCACCACACTCCCCCGAAATCGTGAAATACCGTAACCCTGTCAGTTTTGAATCAAACTACACAAAAGTTAGATATGCCGATTTCTTATGTTTTGGGCTTTAAAACGAGCCTAAACACCGCTAGACTCCGTCCACTTCTGAATCTACAGTAATCCTTGTTCCCCCCGATATCTAAAAACTACTGTAAAACAGTTAGTTTTGCTTTTAACTCAACAAAACTTTAACAAATCATTTTCTCACATTGTCAGCTTCAAAATAAGTATAAACACGGCTAGGCTCCGCCCACTTCGGTCAGAGACGCAGCGTGTCTCGTTTCTCTGCACTTTAGCCTTTGGTTTCTTAAAACTACAGTAACTTGTTTAGTGTTTCCCCAATTCCATTGCAAGTTAATGAAATCGGTTTGTCTTGTTGAGAGCTTCAAAATGAGTATAACCACCACTAGGCTCCGCCCATTTTGAAATTTCCCTTTAAAGGCGCATGGGGTGTGAATTTTTCAAAGTGGGCGGAGCCCAGTCGTGTTTATACTCATTTTGAAGCCCAAAACATAAGAAATCGATACATTTATTTTTTGTCCAAATTGAACCAAAACCGATAGGGTTACGGTACTTTTACGATACTAACGTCCCCAAAACTGTAAAAACTATTGTAACACAGTCAGTTTTGCTCGATACTCAACGAAATGTAAATACCGTAAAACCTGTATTAAAAGAGCGTTTTTGTTCCAAGTTACCTCCCGAGAACCGTTCTATTACAAGGGCCCTTCAATTAAAGGTTTTACAGTATTTGTGGACCGCTACACACGCAGTCTCGGGAGTACAAAAATCAAAATTAAGGCCGTTATTCAGTAAAACAGCCAACGGAGAAGGCCTTCTCAGAGTATGCCATGCACGAGGGGACGCCATTAAAACGCGCGCCCGACACTACCCGGGTTCCGCGGCCCACTATGTTTAGTGTGCGGAGGGGGCGGAGTCTGGAGGCATTCTTGTTTGGAAGGCTCCAGAAGACGTCAAAACTAGAATTTTCGAAAAATTCAAAATGTTACAACTATCTACATGAAATTTCCTATTGATTGGTATAACTTTCATACAAGCAGGACTACTGTAAGGTTAATTCAAATTGTCAGGTGTTAACAGAGAATTCGCTGACTAGGATAACCGTATTATCCCGAAGATTTGAGCAATTAAGTTCCAGGGACTTAAAATCGTACGAAATTTTTTGATAAGCAATTGTTTCTTATCCAGGACAATTTTATCATTTTATGCAATATTTTTTTTTTGAAAAATTCACTCCAGAAGACGTCAAACCAAGATATTCAATGATCTAACATTGACTAATCAAAATTTAACTGATTCCTCTTATCAGAAGATATAAACTTTTAAACTTTTGGTTGACCGCTACACACGCAGGCTCGGGAGTACAAAAATCAAAATTAAGGCCGTTATTCAGTAAAACGGGGGTACGACGAATTCGAACGTTTTCAAAATCGAACAGACCTAAAATCGAACAGACTCAATGCAGAACAGTCTCTTTTTCGAACATGTATCAAAACCGAACAAGGACAGAATCGAACTGTGACAAATTCGAACTGTGCAGAATCGAACAGTGCAAAATTCGAACTGTATCGGCGTCGAACTGTCCCAAATTGGAACGCTTTTAGCCATGGAGCGCGCTTGCATTTTTCTTCAAATTCTCGATTTTTCTCCTGAAAACTTTTCAAAAATACAAATCGTTCTCTGCGAAAATTTATTAGAAATAAAAAAAACAACAAGAATAGAACAGAAAATGTGAAATATTTTGACAATGTGTTAAAAAATGTTTACGAATTCACGGATTTTATGACGAATTTGCCATCGAAATGCTGTCGAGTAGCTGTATACCAGTAAGCGGAGCATTCGGTGGAAGTGGTGAGTTTTCCAAAGCTTTGATGAGTCTCTTGTCTTTCATGACACTCAATCTTCTACTTCTGTTGACCTGAAATGGAGGCAGTTATCTGTTTGCTACTTTCAAATGTCAGTAGCAACTTACTTGAAAATTGGGGTCCAGGCGTAATTCTTCTGCGTCCATCCGAGTGTGTTCTTCTTCCTCCTTAACTTTCATCAAAAGATCGGACATCAAAACTGGTGACAATCCATTTTTTTTGGAGAAAACATACTGAAAATTTTTTTCATGAAACAGTTTTTAAAAACTCAATCTCACAGTTAACATTTTGTGCCATGTTTCGACTACATTAGTGGTGCGATGAATACCATTCATCGTTCTGTCAACTACGCTCCACATCGATGGAGGAAATCGATCGGTGCTTTCGATATAGAATCTTGAAAGGTAGTCGATGAAATCTGAAATTGGTTTTTTGCGGTCAATGAAAGCCAACCTAAAATGAACCTTGTATATTTTGTGGAATCGGCATCGCAACTGTAGTAACAATTAGGTCGAAAAATTGTTTCGTTTGGGAGGCATCAATGAAGGGTATCGACTTCAGGCGGGCCCAGAAATCTTTTATGGATCCTTCTAGAAAATAATGTTCAGCAGTAAGCAAACTTATTACAACCCACTCGTAAATTCTTCGTAAATGTGCAACTGCTCGGCTTTTCGGCGCCATGATTGCAACAAGTGAAATAAACATCCTTGGACACATGTTCTCGGAAACTGTGATCTGAACGCATTTTTGAGAGCGATTTCGAAGTCTGCAATAGTTATGTTTCAATTTTTATTTGATTTTTTTTCTTACCACAAATCACTAACAATGGTTCCCAGACAGTAAGACGCGGATGGCTCTCTGACACGATTTTCAAAACGGCTTCATAGGAAGCCGTCTGTTTATCGCTTAAAAGGCAGAAGACCACGGGGCGAACGACCGATTCGGAAACCTGCAACAAAATGTTTTAAAGGGAAGACGGCGACGGTGCATACATATGCGTGGATGGTAAATAATTGCGTGAATGGAGATGGGACAGCATCAAAAGTTCCATCACAGAATACAGTACGAGAATCGGCCAGTAGATCGAGTCCGAAATCGCTTGCGAATACAACCATCCTTGAAGCGCCAGTTGCCGTTTGAATCGTTGAATCCTTCACTAGAAATCTTTCCCCATCTAAAATGCAATGTTTCGGTTGCAGAACTAGTATTCTTACTTAGAGTTCGAGCAAACTGTGGCGCAACATCGCCACCTCGATCCATTTCCATCGTGTCATCGTCTTTGACTCCTTTCGCTTTGTAGATAATTTTTCTTTTAGCATTATATGAACCTGTAAAAATGATTGATTTTCTTCTGCATGTTTAATAGAGCTTATGCCAACCTGTAGCGATGGAAACGAGAGGCGGATATTTTTTCCGAACGGCGTTGATAACTTCTCGTGGTCTTCCATGATTCGCCATTTCCTTCAAATCCTGACGCGCTAGAAACGTCTGAAAAATTACTTTTATAGCGATGTTTGAATGCTTCCATTAGATTCTCCAAGCTGATACGCACATCGCTTCTAACAGAATCCTCGTCGTGTCTGACGTGATCTTTTTCAACAGTGAATGTGTTGGTGGCTGGGTCGTAGCTGTAAACGGCGTCACACTTGGCACGTCTCTCTCTGAAACAAACAATTTATTTTTATAAATATAAGATTTTTACCTCTCAACACAGTACCAGAGTTCTTTTCCGCCTTTTTTTGAATCGCATCGCAAATCCCTCCAGCTTGACGATCGGCTTGTTTCTTCTCGGAGCCATTTTTCTGAAAAACCGTTTCTATTTTAAAAGCTAAAACAGAATTATTTCGTATGAAATTAGATCGAAAACGTTTATTTTTAATTGAGGAAACAATATAAATTTGCGGGAAAAAAGAGAAAACAAAAATAATGCAAGCGCGCTCCATGGCTAAAAGCGTTCCAATTTGGGACAGTTCGACTCCGAAACAGTTCGAATTTTGCACTGTTCGATTTTGCACAGTTCGAATTTGTCACAGTTCGATTCTGTCCTTGTTCGGTTTTGATACATGTTCGAAAAAGAGACTGTTCTGCATTGAGTCTGTTCGATTTTAGGTCTGTTCGATTTTGAAAACGTTCGAATTCGTCGTACCTCCAGTAAAACAGCAAACGGAGAAGGCCTTCTCAGAGTATACCATGCACGAGGGGACGCCATTAAAACGCGCGCCCGACACTACCCGGGTTCCGCGGCCCACTATGTTTAGTGTGCGGAGGGGGCGGAGTCTGGAGGCATTCTTGTTTGGAAGGCTCCAGAAGACGTCAAAACTAGAATTTTTCAGAAATTCAAAATTTTACAACTATCTACATGAAATTTCCTATTGATTGGTATAACTTTCATACAAGCATAGTCAATGTAGGCTGAGTTATAGATCGATAAAGAGAAAAACAAGAGAAAGAAAGCTGGCAACTGTTTGGAATGTTCTAGATGACGTCGAAATTAGAATTTTCAAAAAATTCAGAATGTTAAAATGATTTTCATAACATTTTCTGTCGATTGATATCAAAATTTTAAATATTGGCTCGTTGGGAGCTGAATTGTGAGCAATTGTTTTCAAAGATACGCTTTCACGCTTTTACAAATACTGTGAAAGTACCGTAACCCAGTCAGTTTTGCTTCAAACCTAACAAAAATTAGATATATCAGTTTCTCATGATTTGGGCTTAAAAATGAGCCCAAACACAACTAGTCTCCGCCCACTTTGAAATTTGTGTTTAAAAACGCATAGGAGTTCGAAATTTTTAAAGTGGGCGGAGCCTAGACGTGTTTATACTCATTTTGAAGCTCACATCATAACATATTGATATATCTAATTTTTGTTGAGCTTGGAGCAAAACAAAACTGGGTTACGGTACTTTTTATAAATTTCAAAGAGCCAATACTTTATTCATTCCAAATTCCATATAAAAATTTTTACATTTTCGGGCATCCTTGTGATCCCCAATCAGGCATATTAATATCGAAATAGGTCAGATGATCGGGTGGATAGGAATCCAGTTGTCTGTTGCTACAGTATAACCCATCGGCTTCGGCACAAATGTGATACGGTTCGGTGGTCGACATGTTGTTGTTGTACCTGCAAATAAAATGTTTGGGATTTGAGACTTGTAATTAACATGCTTACGTTTGAATTTGCAGTGTCAAGAGCTTCAAAATGAGTATAAACATGCCTAGGCTCTGCTCACTTCCGGATCACAGTAGCCCATCCTCCTCTGATATGAAAAAAAGTACCGTAACCCGATAAGTTATGCTCCAAATTTAACAAAGACTAGATATATCAATTTCTCATAATTTGGACTTTAAAATGAGTATAAACACGACCAGGCTCCGTTCACTTTGAAAGTTTCGGACCCCATGTGCCTTTAAAGTGAAATTTCAAAGTGGGCGGACCCTAGTCGTGTTTATACTTATTTTGAAGCCCAAAACAATATAAATTGAAATATAAAAGTATTATGTCGTTTGAAGCAAAACTGACTGAGTTACGGAACTTTAAATATATCGGTAGGGGTGGGGATTACTGTAGATCCTGGAGTGGGCGGAGCCTAGCCGTGTTTAGGTTCATTTTGAAGCTGAAATTGTGTGAAGTCTAAACCCATAAAGAAAATTCAGATTAGTTATGAATTTAGGGAGTTAGAAGGTGTTTACTCGAGAATGTGCCAAAAAACCGACTTTTTCAAAAAATTTACTTTAAAGGCGCATAACTTTTTTTAAAATTCAACCCACAAACATGAAATGAATATAGTTGTGTAGTAAATTTAAAGAGCTACAATTTGATATAATTTGCAATAATTTTGATTAATTTTGAAGAAAGTTACACTTTACCAAAATATTTCCATAAAAATTGAGGCTTTTTTTTTTGGTAGATCATAACTCTTTTCAAAATTGATCCAGAGACATGAAAATTATATTAATTTGTAGGAAACTTCCAGAGCTACAAAATCATATATAAACCAAATTTAATCAAATTCAAATTCTAGTAGAAAAACCCACCAAATCTCAGTCCTATGATGGAAAAGCTCATCTTTCCCGTATTGCGGTGGAATATGGGGTACAATATCCTTATGATGGACGATTCTAAACGAATATGGGAACGTTTTGTCATGCCAAACCGCATAATCGTAGTCTCCAGTTCTCGGTTGTCCCATTGTCACTAATTTCACATTATTCCCATCGAATAATCCAGTATGGACCACATAAGAGGCAGCAATTGAGGCAATGGCTCCGCCCAAAGAGTGTCCCGTGACCCATAACTCATATCCCGGATATTTATACTTCAAATTACGAATATCCTGAGACAGTCCTCCATTCCATAGGAAAAAGAAGGCGTCATAGAAATATGTGAAAATGTGTCCGGCGTCGGGGAAGAACAGTTTTTTGCCGGTGAAAAAGTCTAGAATCTCCTCTGTCAGCTGTGTAGCTCCCTGTGTTCCTCGGAACGACATTACAATCACTTTTTGGGTAGTGTCGAATGAGGTAAAGCCGAAACAATTGGTTTGGGGACCTTCCGCTGAGCAATTCACACTGAACGTTTTGGAGAGGGACATTGTTGGCATCGCGTTTCTGAAATTCCGATATTTGTTCTTCCCGTAACTTTGGAGAAGTTCAAAATTGTTGATTTGAACTTTGATTTAATTGGATTCAGCGCGTTGAGACCTTCAAAATGAGTATAAACACGCCTATGTTCCTTTAAATTTGAAACTTGACCCTTTAAAGGCGCATAACGCAGTCGGGAAATCAAGGAAAATCAAATTTTCCAAAAGCAGGTCATGATTATACTTATTTTGAAGCTCTAAACTTGAAAAATGCAGAATTGCGCAAATAATCCAATTTGAACGGAAATAAAAGGAGTTAAGACGCTTTTTCAAAGTTTTGCCAATTTTCGGTGTCATGTCCAAACTACCGTAACTCGGTTAACTTTTGTCCAAAATTGAAAAAAATTAAAATTTTTGAATTTAGCAAGTTTAGAGCTTTAAAATAAGAATACACACGCCTATGTTCCTTTAAATTCGAAATTACGACTTTAAAGGCGCATAGGGGGTCGGGAAACCAGTCGGACAATCACATTCATACTCATTTCGAAGCTCTAACCTTGAGGAGTACAGATTCGTTTGAAAAATTTTATTTCGATCAAAACGAAGGGAGTTACGACGCTTTTTCATAAATTCTCATTTTTTTTTGCTTCAATTGCAAACTACCGTATATCGATCAACTTTCATCCAAATCCAGAAAATGTTTTAATTTCGAGTTTTTCAAGTTTTGAGCTTTAAAATGAGTACCCACAAGTCTATGTTCCTTGAAATTCGAAATTTGACACTTTAAAGGCGCATAGGGGGTCCAAAAAGTGAAAGTTTCAAAAGTAGGTCATGTTTATATTTATTTAAAAGCTCTAACCTCGAAAAGTACATAAATTTTTGAAAAACTAGATTTCGACAAAAATCAAAGAAGAAACCACTTTTTCGTAGTTTCGTTAACTTTTGGTACAATTTTCAAACTACCTTAACTCGATCAATTTTTGTCCAAACTTAGAAATTTTGTGAATGTTAACATTATCGCGTCGAGAGCTTCAAAATGAGTATAATCATGACCCACTTTCCTTAAATTCAATTTTTGGACCTCCTATGCGCCTTTAAAGCCAAAAGAAGTCAAAAATTGGATTTAAAGGAACATAGTCCTGTTTATACTTATTTAAAAGCTCTCAACGTGCTTAAAACAAAATTGTAGGTTTTATCAAAAAATATCGAAAAATAAACAAGCTGTGATCAAAACCATATTTGAGTGAAAATTAGCGACAACTTTGTTCTTCCCGTAACTTTGTCGATTTTGAAAATTTCCGGTTTATTGGTAGATATCTGAATTTAGCATTTTAAGAGCTTCGAAATGAGTATAATCATGTCCTACTTTAATGAAACTCAATCTTTGGACCCCCTATGCGTCAAAGCCAAAAAAAAAGTCAAAAATTGAATTTAAAGGAACATATTCCTGTTTATACTCATTTTGAAGCTCGTAACGTATTAAATCCAGTTTTCTATGTTTTTTCAAAAAATCTTGAAAAATACACAAGCTGTGATCATATTATTATATTTATTAGCTGACCATATTTGAGTGAAAATTAGCGAAATCTTTGCTTTTAACGTAACTTCGTCGATTTTCGAAATTTTCGGTTCATTGGTAGATATTTAAATTTAGCGTTTTGAGAGCTTCAAAATAAGTATAATCATGACCTACTTTCCTCGCATTCAAGTTTCGGACCCCTATGCGCATGCGCCTTTAAAGGGTCAAAATTTCAAACTTAAAGGAACATGGTCATGTTTATACTCATTTTGAAGCTCTAAACGCGCTTAATTCAAATTTTTAATTTTCAATAATAATTGGCTCACTTGAAGCATTTTTCCGGGTGATTATTGAACGCGGCGGCCGTCGTCACCAAAATCTTTGACCTCACAAAAGCGTCATCGTAAGCGTGCGCCTTATCAGGAAGTTCCGGGCAATTGAGAGCTTTCTGGAAATTATAGATTATTTAATAAACAACTGTAGTCTATCTTGTATGATTTAATAAACAACTGTAGTCTATCTTGTATGACAGGAACATTGTAGTCTATCTTGTATGATTTTTCTTTTTTTCCAGATTTCTGCTTTTCAGAATGTTCAACATCTAAAAATTCTAATTTTAAACTTACCGAAATTGAGGTCACACATGGAGAGAAACCGCATTCGTTGACTGTAACGCACCAACTGAAAAAACAAGAAATTTCAAGAATTCTTACCGTAACTTTGGAAATTTTCAAAATCTTCAATTTATTTTTAGATATTTGAATTTAGCTAGTTTCCAGCTTCAAAATGAGTATAATCATGACCTACTTTCCTGAAATTCGATTTTCGAGACCCCTATGCGCCTTTAAAGTCAAATTTTGAATTTAAAGGAACATAGTCATGATTATACTCGTTTTGAAGTTCATGGCCTGTTTAATCCAAAAATTAAAATTTTCTCTAGTTTTAACAAAAACTGAACGAGTTATGGCAGTTTGAACATAAGACCAAAGAATCAGGGTAATCATGTAAACGCCTCATAACTCCCTTCATTTCAGTCCACTACAATTTTCCAGAGCAGAACTGTATTTTGCAAGCTTGGAGCTTCAAAATGAGTATAATCATGACCTACTTTCCGGAAATTCGTTTTTTGGGCCCCCCTATGAGCCTTTAAAGTGTCAATTTTCAAAGAGGGCAGAACCTAGTCGTGTTTATACTCATTTTGAAGGCTTGCACTTGCTGAATTAGTAGTTTTAAGTTTTATCCAAAAATGTTGAAAAATACACAAGTTGGGATCAAAATAGTGTTTGGTTGAAAATCGGAGATAACCTTGTTATCCTCGTAACTCTGTCATTTCATGAAATTTTTGTTTTTTTCCTAGATTTTTGATTTCAGCTTGTTGAGAGCTTCAAAATAAGTATAAACATGACCTACTTTCTTCAAACTCAATTTTTGGACCCCTTATGCGCCTTTAAATGGTCAATTTTCAACTTTAAAGGAACATGGTCATGTTTATACTCATTTTGAAGCTCTAAACGGGCTAAATTCAAATTTCCTCATATTTCTTCAGAAAATCTTACTGTTTTCCACTAGCAATACAATCGGAGCATTTGCTGGCCTCAGAAACACCAAAAATTAGAGCTATTAAAATGGAAAAGACTAGAAAATAATTCATCGATGCCTAAAAAATTGAAGAACTGATAAGAAAATGATCATTTGAGAGAAGGTTTTATAGAGGAAAAAGGCATGTGGGAATCCATGGCTTGAAATTCTTATCAGTTTAAAAAATGATAAAAATTGCAAAAAAGATGAACTAAAGTGTAGAAAAAGGAGTAATGGACTTTTAAGTGCAGTTTTAGGTTATTATTAGTGGAAGAAATTAGAATTTCTTTTCTCGAATTTCGACTTCTCAAATTCCTCAAAAATTAGACCAGAAAAAAAGCAGTGGGAGGCCGGCGGGCGCTCACCGCTCCTCGCAAATGCGCCCTCTTTTATACGCCCTCCCCCTCCCTCTCCTTCCGTGCCGCCATAGCTCAGTCGGTTAGAGCGTGGGTCTAATAAGCCCAAGGTCGCAGGTTCGACCCCTGCTGGCGGCAAACTCTTTTTGCTTCTTTTTCCTTTTTATATTGTTGGTTCCAGAATCTTCGGTTCAAAATTTTTTATAAATACATTCTTAAAATATGTCTGAAAAAAGAGAAAAAAGTTTTTTAAAGCTTAAATAAAATAAAAATTAACTCAAAAGTAAATTCGGGAAAATGCAAAGTTGAGATCATTCATTAAACTTGTCAATATTAGTTCAAATAAAATTTTACTGGAAATTCCGACTTTTTAAACTTCTGGATCGTTAGATGTTGACGTGCTTGGAGTGTCTGAAAACCTGACATCATCATCTTAAATTATCATTAAAAAAAAAATTTTTTTTTTTAAATTCCCTAATAAATTTGATTGTTACAGATTTATAGAGAATTTTCAGAGCTTCGAAATAAGTATAAACATGACCTATTTTCAAAATTTTTGACTGCTCGACCACTTATGCGCCTTTAAGGTCAAATTTCGAATTTGAAGGAACATAGGCGTGTGGGTACTCATTTTGAAGCTCTCAACAATTAAAAATTCAAATTTTCTAAAGTTTTGAAATTTTGACAAAAACTGATCGAGTTACGGTAGTTTGAAAATTGAACCAAAATTTAAAAAAGTATGGAAAAGTGTCGTAACTCCTTTCATTTTGATCCAATTCGAATCCATTTTACATATCTGTATTTCTCAAGTTCAGTGCTTCAAAATGAGTATAAATATGACATAGTTTCCTTGATTTTCAAAACCTGGACCCCTTATGCGCCTTTAAAGGGCTATTTTTCAAGTTTAAAGGAACATAGACATGTTTATACTCATTTTGAAGCTCTAAACGCGCTAAATTCAAAAATCCTTGTAAAAACTCACTAGCAGTATCCTTGACCTTTCCGTTGGCTCTTCCAATCGCCAAACATCCGGGAATTTTGCATTTTCGTCGGTCGTCACAAAGAATCATATGCTCATAAATGACCAAATTGAACTGATTACATTCCAAACAATCCAAATGGAAACATTCCAAATAGTGCTTCAAAATTCGCTTCAAACTGTAGCAATAATTACGAATGCAACGAGCATTCGAACATTCCGCAGCGTGTTTCGCGGCAAGACCAATTCTACAAACATCTTACTGTAACTCGGGCAGTTTTGCTCTGAACTTGATTTTTTGTAAATTTTCAAATTTCTCAAGTTTAGAGCTTTAAAATGAGTATAAACTCGCCTATGTTCCTTTAAGTTCAAAAATTGACCTTAAAGGCGCATAGGGGGTCGAAATATTGAAAATCAAGGAAAGTAGGTCATGTTTATACTCATTTTGAAGCTCTTAACTTCAAAAATACAGATCTATTTTAAAAATTTAGTTTGAACAAATATGAAAGAAGTTACGACGCTTTTTCTTTTTTTTTTTTTTTTTTGATAAATTTTTGTGTAATTTTCAAACTACCGTAACTCTGTCGGTTCCACTTTGAACTCAAATTATCTTTGATTTCTAAATTTCTCATTTCCAGCGCATCGAAATAAGTATAAACACGCCTATGTTCCCTTAAGGTTGAAAATTGACTTCAAAGGCGCATAGGGGGTCCAAAATTTAAAAATCAAGGAAAGTAGGTCATGATTATACTCATTTTGGAGTGCTCAACTTGAAAATATAAATCTGTTCATAAAAATGGTTTCAGACCACTTTTAAGATTTCAAAGTTCTGAAAACCATCAAAAATACTTACGGTGCCATAAAGAATGTATATCCTTCTGTTTTATCCACTTTCTTAGTTGCCATCTCCTCACGAGTCATCGTTTCCTTGAGACACAACTTATCAATTCTCTTTTTTGTGTCTTGACAGTACGTTCTGAATTTTTTGCCGGTGTCCGCAGATTTTGACACTTTCCCAGCCATTTTCAGACAAACTAGAGTCTGAAAAGTGTTCATAACTTGATAATGTTTCAAGATTAGAAAGTGATTTTTACATTTTTGAATTTGCCTTGTTGAGAGCTTCAAAATGAGTATAAACATGACTAGGCTTCGCCCATTTTGAAAAATTTGGCCCCCATGCGCCTTTAAACTCGAAATTTCAAGTTAAAGGAACATAGGCGTGTGGGTACTTATTTTGAAGCTCTAAACTTGCTAAATTCAAAAATTTAAATTTTTTCAATTTTGGACAAAAGTTAACCGAGTTACGGTAGTTTGGGCATGACACCAAAAATTAACAAAACTTTGAAAAAGCATCTTAACTCCTTTTATTCTGGTCCAAATTGACTTATTCGCAAAATTTTGCATTTTTCAAGTTCAGAGCTTCGAAATGAGTATAATCATGACCTACTTTTGAAAAATTTGATTTCCCTCGATTTCCCGACTGCGTTATGCGCCTTTAAAGGGTCAAGTTTCAAATTTAAAGGAACATAGGCATGTGAGTACTCATTTTGAAGCACTCAACGCGGCAAATTCAAATTTTTAAGTTATTTCAAATTTGGACAAAAATTAATCGAGTTACGGTAATTTGAATTATTACCTGGGCTAACTCTTCGAGGGATTTTTCCAAAAAAAAGTGATTTTGAAAAAATATATTTTTGTTAGATTTTTGGGACTTTTTGTTCTATTTAATCTGAAAAAAATTGAGAGGCGGAGATTGCCGGGGGTCCCAAGAAATCTGGGACCACCGGAAATTTGAAAAATGTCAGTTTTTGGGTTTTTGGGTGAGATGGATTTATGTTCTTAGAACAAATGATTGATTAGTACAGGAAATTAAAGGGAAATGGAGGAAAGCTAAGATTTAATTTCAAAAAAATTCTGGAAAAAGTTCTGGAAAATTTGGATTTTCAAAAATTTTTCAAATTTTCAGATTTTCAGAAAATCCCCAAAAATTTTTATATTCTGAAAACTCGGAAATTCTTTAATTTATCTCCAAAAATCTGAATTTTGAAAATTCAAAAATCCAGAAAAAACAATTTTCAGAATATTTTCAGACAAGCTATATAGCTAGAAAATTCCAGAACGATGAAACAAAAATTGTACTCTTCTCTCTGAAAAAAAAATGTGTACGAACTACAAAAAGTGGCGCTTGTTTGAAATTGTTTGTTTTTTTTTGTTTGAGAAAAAAATCTAAAAAGGGAAAATTCTCGAAAAATGAGCCAATGGAGGAGAATGCTCATAAAATGAATTGGTCCACCCCCTCGATTTCTAAAAAAAGAGCTAATTTTAGAAGAAAAAAAAAAGCGATAATGCACAAGCTATAAAACTTTCATGGGGTTTTTCCACTGGGTTACGGTAGTTAGGTAATAGACGGAGCTTGAAAAATGACCAGTTTTGTTTGGAATTAAATTTTACTTACATTATTGAATTCCTCAAGTTTAGAGCTTCAAAATGAGTATAAACACGCCTAGGCTTCGCTCATCTTGAAAAATTCGGACCCCCTATGCGCCTTGAAAGTGAAATTTCAAAATGGGCGGAGCCCAGTCGTGTTTATACTCATTTTGAAGCACTAGTAATAAGAATTACAAATCTGTTTAAAAAATTCGGTTTGGACTGAAATGTAAGGAGTTACGCCGCTGTTTGATAATGTTGGGGATTTTTGATGCAATTTTCAAAATAGCGTATCTCTGTCATTTTTTGTCCAAACCTGGAAATGTTTAAAAATTTGAGTTTTATTTGTTTCTAGCTTCAAAATGAGTACCCACACGCCTATGTTCCTTTAAGTTCGAAATTTGACATTAAAGGCGCATGGTTGGTCGGAAATTCAAATTTCTTCAAAAGTTGGTCATGTTCATACTCATTTCGCAGCTCTGAACTAGCCAAGTTCAAAGATGTTAGTTTTATAACAAAATTTCAAAAAATAACCAAGTTCAGAGGAAAAAATATAGTTTTCTGAAAAACTCAAGTTTGGAAAATGCCTAAATTGTTGCTTAAGATCAAAAATTGAATAGATATTTGAAAACAAAAATCAAATCTCACATAATTTTTGGAATTAATTACAGGGTTTGGCTTTAATGTACATTCTTTAATGTACATGTACGGGCAACATTCTCATTCAAACCTATAATTTTCCAAATTTTTTTTTGCTATGCTCCTTTAAAAGGACACATTGTCATGTTTCTTTCAAAGTTTGCAATTAAGAATTTATTCAAATATTTAAAAAAAAAGCAATAAAAGTGCCGCTTCAAGTTTTTTAGACAGAGGTAGAAAGAACAAAAAAATGAGGTTCTACAACTAAGAAATCAATTATCTCAATTCCCAAGAAAGATATCAAAAAGTTGCAAACTGATAAAATGTTACTGATAACATGTTAAACATTTTATTAGTTGACAACTTTTTGATATCTCCGACAGGGACCGAGATAAATTAGCTCAAAATTAAGAGGTCGGCAGTCGACAGCGTGGCTCAGTTCATCTCTGAACTTCAAGCTAATTTATCTTGGTTCTTGTAAAAGATATCAAAAAAGTATCAATTGATAAAATGTCAAACATAGAATTTCTAATATTTTATCAGTTAACATATTTTTGATATCTCTTACAGTAACCGAGATAAGTTGGGTCAAAGTTAACAGATCTAGCTTTGACTGCCAGCACCGACCTCTTAGCTTTAAGCCGATTTATCTGGATTCCTGAAAAAGATAGCAACAAATAGTCAACGGATAAAATGTTTATCATGTTATCAGTAACATTTTATCAGTTAACATATTTTTGATATCTCTTACAGTAACCAAGATAAATTGGGTTCAAATCAACAATCAACACCTCCAAAAATAGTATTCTGCTATACGATTAAGCTTAATTCTTGTTTCCGTGATAGTTTTGAAAGTCAGCGCACGATGGAAATATCGTTTTGCAGCAAATTTCCGGCCGTCTTCAAACAGAGCAATGCCCAAGAAGACATGGTTTCTCAGTGAATCGCCGAATAACTGCTGGGCGGATCTATAGTTATCGATTGCTTCCTCGAGGGTCCCTTCTGGAGCAGTGCATCCCAGGCAAACGCTTATTTTACGTTTGATCCATGACAAATTGGCAAATTCGTGATACCAACGACCGCGTAGATGTTGAAGGTACCACGCCATGGGATGGAGTGCGATTGCGCGGTCGAGGTAGGCCTGAAATTACTTAATTGGTAGACCAAATCAATGTTTTCGAACGGATCTAAATTTGTCAAGTTCCCAGCTTCAAAATGTGTATAAACATGACCTACTCTCCTTGATTCTTAAAATCCGGACCCCCTATGCGCCTTTAAAGCCGAAATTTCTAATTAAAAGGAACATAGGCGTGTGGGTACTCATTTTGAAGCTCTGAACTGGAGGAATTCGAATGTTTACAAAAATTAAAGTTTACGGTAAAATTGACCGAGTTACGGTAAGATTACTGTCATCTTTCAAGCTCCACCTTTACTGAACTACAGTAACCCAGTGAAATCCCAAGTCTTTTAGGTTATTCTAAATGTAATAAATTCCCAACCAACCTTTGTCTTCCTAGCTTCATACATTTTACTCCTGAATGGAAGTACCGCCAGCAGCTTCAACGAGAGGTACGCCAGCCATTTGGCTGCCAGGAAATTCTCCTTATCCGTTTCATAGACCTTGACCAAGTACTCCTTTCCCATTTCTAACATTTGAATCTTATCTTTGTCGGTCCCCAATTGGTCCGCATTGTTGTAACAGAATTTGGCGAGTCTGAAGAGGACTTCAATCGACTCGTCGCCATCTTCATACATCTGCAAAATGTGGGATTTTTAGATGCTGAAATCTTTGTTATATTCTTGTAGCTGAAGTTATAAGGATCATTCTGATATAAAAATTTTCACGAAAATGCTTGAATTTCATAATGAATCATGCCTGCATAGATTTCTTAAGTTGGCTGAGGCTTAACTCTAAACATGACTAGTGTTTGGTACTGTAGCTAGCTTGAAAATCAGAATCTTACAAAGCAAATTATATATTCTTGTAGCTCATGTTTCAAGGATCATTTCGGTATAAAAATCTGTCTGAAAATCGTCAAATTCGCTTGCGAATCCTGTCTGTAAACTTTTTACAGCGCGTAAAATGTCGAGCTGGAGACATGCATCATGTTTTAACCTGTAACTAGCTTCATAATTAGAATTTTAATTAATTAGTTGTATATTTTTGTAGCTTATGTGATAAGGGTCATTCTGATACAAAAACCATTGTCCTCGGTAGCGGTCGACCGTAGTTCCGAGGCTTTGAAACCCTAAAATTAAAGTTTCACCAAAACTCCCTTCGTTTTCAAGTTAGCGTTTATTTTCTGAACTGTAACTAGCTTCAAAGTTAGAATCCTGCAAAGTTATTAATATATTTTTGTAGCTCATGCCACAAGGATCATTTTGGTATAAAAATGATTATTCTAAGTCGCGGTCGGCCGCGGCCAGCGGCTCTGAAAGACGTCTAACCCCTGTAAACCGTTTTATTACTTTGTTTGTTTTCAACCTAGAGCTTTAGTTAAAGTATCATGTGATACCTCGAAATTTTCTTAATTAAAATCCCAAAAAACCAATACGAAAAGTTCGAAATTGAATTTTCTAGAGTCGATATATCGAAAAAGGCTTATAACTCCTCTCATTTCCCACCCAGAACTTTGATTTTTGGATCATTTGAGAGCTCTAGTTTTTCTAAACTTTCAGTTAATTAAAACTCACAAATTGAAGTTTCTCAAATGCCTCATAAGTGTCCTTGACCCGGAATGTGCTCAAAAGCTCATCCACTTCATACAGTATATCATCTTTTTCTTGTGGAATTTCAAGTTCATCGATTGGGCAGATGTGCATTTTTGGGAGGAAAGAATCTGAAAAAAATTATGCAAATTATATCAATTGATAGGAAATTTTTTGAATGTTTGGAATATGTTTAAATGAACTTCCACAAAAAAAAAGAAAAAAAAGGTAGAAACCAGGCAAGAACCCGTAAAAATAGAAAAAAACTGAAAAAAAAGAGATTTTCAAAAATTAATTGATTTATTAAAATTACAAAAAAACGTTTCAAGAAAAATTGTTAGAGGTAAAGGGAAAAAAATAAAACTTACAGAAAAAATTAAAATTTCAAAATTGCTTAACTACAATGACTACAAAGACTACAAAAGCTCACCACCGTAAACACATTAGTAGCAGGCCCCGCAACCACCGTCAACTTTGAGCCCTTATATCTCGGTAACTGTACGAGATATCAAAAAAGTGAAAACTGATAAAATGTTTATCATGTTATCAGTAATATTTTATCAATTGACAAAAATGTGATATCTCTTACAGTCACCGAGATAAATTGAATCAAAGGTAAGAGGTCGACTAAGCTACGAGGTTGGCTGCCGACCTCTTAACTTGTCCCATGTTATCTCGATTACTGTAAGAGGTATTAAAAAGTGGTCAACTAATAAAATATTTATCATAAAATTTGCAACATTTTATCAGTTAACAATTTTTAGATATCTTTTACAGCCACCGAGATAAATTAGTTCAAAGTTAAAAGGTCGGCTGAGCACGCTGCCGGCTGCCAACCTCTTAACTTTGAGCTAATTTATCTTGGTCTGTTTGAAAGATATAAAAATGATCAACTGATAAAATGTTTATCAGAATATCACCAACATTTTATTAGTGTTTCACTTTTTGACATCTGTCCCAGAAAAGGAGATATTCGTGCTCATAGTCAGGGCAGCCCCGAATCGCTAAACCAAACTTCCACAGAGCTACACGGACACCAATAATCTTTGTTCTAGCTTTTTTCACTAATTCGTCCACTTCAATCAAATTACACTTTGCCAAATATTTTTCAGCTTCACTAACAAAACTGGACCTCTTTGTTGACTCCTTACTCATCTGTACAATATGCTTAAAATGCATTTTCGCAGTTTCAAAGTCTCGTTTTTCAAACAAACTTATCGCCAAACAAACTGTCGTTTTCTGGCAAAATGGAGCGATTAAATAAGCCTTTTTGAAGTCGTCAATCGCTTGATCTAGAGTTCCTTCTGGGGGAGGAATCGACATTAGGGAGCTCTTGGTACTTTGAATCCATGTGATTTGAGAGACCATTCGGTACCAGCGGCCTCTCAAGTACAACATATCTAGGTCATTGGGTTCCAGAGATAGAGCATGGTCTACGAAAATCTGGAAATTAAAAGACTATTCAATGATACTATAAAAATCGGATAATTTTGAGCCGAGTTATGACATTTTTTGGTTTCAGAATAGCATTGTGTCAGTAATTGCGCTCTAGTAAACCTCATGACTGCAATTCTTGAAAAATTTGAAATATGAAAATTATCCATATGAAATTTCCTATTTAATAATATATTTTTGTTAAGAATTGATCATGTTTGGTATGAGATATGGGACCTTGAAAATGTCCAAAACTCAAATTTTCAGAAATATTTTTTTCAAAAAAATTTTTGAGGCAATTTATTTCGCTTCCTAAGAAAGATATCAAAAAGTAGTTTACTGATAAAATATTTATCATAACATTTCCTATATCTTATCAGTCGATCACTTTTTGATATCTACTACAGTAACCGAGATAAGCTAGCCCAAAGTTGAGAGGCCGGCAAGCGACGACCTCTCAACTTTGAGCCAATTTAACTCATTTCATGTCAAAAATATTGAAAAGTAGTGAACTGATAAAATGTCACTGATATTCAGATAAACATTTTGTCAGTTGATCACTTTTTGATATCTACTACAGTAACCGAGATAAATTGATTCAAAGTTTAAAAGGCGGCGCTCGCTGAGCAACGCGGCAGTCTCTCAACTCTGAGCCAATTAATTGCCCGCGGTATGTCCGGGGTATCAGGTTCCTGTGATAAAATAGAAGAAAATCAACAAGAAATGTAACAAAATCGGTTTATTATGAACAAGTTAAAAAGAAACAACAAATAAAAGCTTAGAATTCAAGCAAACTCACTTGAAATCCTTAAAAGAGTCCCTAGAACAACCACGAGCCAAATCCAAGCTCGCAATCCTCAAAAACTAAATTTAAACTGTGCGCGCGCCGAGCGGGATAGCGGAGTGTCGTTGCGTGGGTAGAGGGAACCTTTAGAAGGGGTTGGAGGGTAGATGCACCAGGCAACTTCCCCCTCCTCTAGAAATCCGGACCCCTGACCGGAGAAAGGTATGACCCTCGCCACGACTCACATTCTTCTCCAACCCTTACACTCTTTGCTAACGCACCTCACCTACTCACACTCACAACATTACAATACAATACCTACAGTAATTAACCTACTAAACTCTTACTAAACCTAAACTACTACAATACCCTAGAATAGTTACTTAAATACAAAACAAAAATAAGCATTTAAATCCCAAAATGTCCTTAATTACTTATCGGACTTGGTCATTTTGCAACGTGGCTCCTCCTTCTCCGCCGACATCGCCTTCAGTCGTTTCACACACGGATTATCCTCTGCCACTTGCTCCAGATATCGCACCAGCGATTTTCCCGTCTCATACTTATCCGATGACGTCACAATTAACGGCAATTCTCGCTTTCCGACCTCTTTCCTTGAATCGATCAGCTTCACGTTGTTCAACGTCTTCAGCCTCTTTCTCCACTCCTCTGTCACCTTGTCAACTTCCTTCATGACACACTCCAGCTTGAACGGAATCATTATGACTTCTGGTACTTCTTCTGCCAACTTCGCGATCATTTCGAAAATCCGTTGGTTGACCTCCTTGTCCTTTGTGACTCTCCACAGCCATAGCACATTCTTCACCTTCTTCCACTCGTACTTCTCCATGAAATCGCTTCCATGCGAATTCCGAACTTCCAGAAAATTTCTTCTTCCCGAGATTTTCAATCTTGGGGAAACTATCACTGCTGGCTCCTTGATGATCGTCTTCCTTGGCTT